GACTGACATCTGGCCTTACAGTTTTCTTGAAGGCGCCCATGGTTACCGCAGTAGGTGCAAAGCCAATTGTCAGGTAAAGTAACGTACTTGCTATGAGGGTTGTAAGGAATCTTTTCCCTTTGAAACCCAATCCCCTGCCTGTTTCTCCCATTGTTGGAGTACATGGCAGTGATAGCATAAGAGGGCCAGGTCCACTTGAGTGATTTTTCAAGATCACTCTTCACTTTACCTAGTTCTTCCTGAAGTTGTTTGTTATTCTCAAGCTCAGCACACAAACTAAATTGCACAGAATTTAGCTCATTTTCAAGCTTAATGTGTGCCTCGCTTGCAACTTCCTTTCCTTTTTTTGATAATTTTCAGCCCTACTTTCCATTGTAGGTTTCCCAATGGTTTCCTTCGAGTCCATTACTACCACTAGAAGGTCATCTCTTTCTTGTTTTACATTTTAATCCTTTTCTTTAAGACATTTCTTTCTTTCTTCAAGTTCTCAATTGACTCTCTTAGATCAACAGCAACTATTACTAGGTCATCTCTAGACTGTTCTGCTTCTCCTAGTTCAACTGTTAAGATATCTCTGTCATTTATAAGACTATGATAAGCGTCGATTAGCACATTTGCCAAAGACATGAGTTTCTTAGGAGAATAAGATTTCAGATTTCTCTAAACATCCAGAAAATTACCTCATCATCATCGTCATCTTCATCATCAGACTGGGCCATCAAAGGAAAAATTGAGTCATACTCGGTTGATTCACTTTCTACTGCCATCATATATTGGTTCCTGGTTCATCATCTTCTCCAGATTCGCCTGAAGAATCTCCCCATGCAACAAGAGCTTGTCTCACGACATTGTTAGCGGCGTTTTTTCTATCGAAGCGTCTATCAAGATCCAGGTTCATTTTGGCTGCTTTGTCAGAGTTGTTCTTGTACTGATCCTGCTTTAGGAGAGGGCAATCCTTGATGAAATGTCCTGGCTTGCCACATTTATGATAGAGGTCATAATTCTTTGGCTTACTAGAACTTCCCCTTTTTGGAATACCTCTATTCCTGCGAACCATCTTCTGGAATCTTCTTGTTAGGTATGCCATATCACCATCTTCACCACTTGACTCGTTGTTTTCTATTTTGAGGACCAGGTTATTCTCCTTCTTGGGCTCTCTTCCTTCAATGTCTTTCTTCTTCTTCATTTCATATGTTTTTAGATCGCCAACAAGCTCATCAATAGTTAGCTCCTGCAAGTCCTACGCCTCTGTAATGGCGTTCACTTTGCTTTCCCAAGAACTGGGTAGCACGCTTAGGATCTTTCTAACCAGCTTGTTCCTTGGAATAGTTTCACCAGGGGAGTGAAGCTCATTAATGATGGAGGTGAACCGGGTATGTATTTCTTGGATAGATTCATCGTCTTGCATCCTGAAAAGCTCGTATTCAGTTGTGAGCATATCGATTTTGGATTGCTTGACCTGTGTTGTTCCTTCATGAGCTGTCTGAAGGGCTTCCCAAATTTCTTTAGCTGACTGACATGTTGATATACTGTTGTATTCATCAGGTCCAATACCACACGCCAGAATTTTCTTAGCACGAAATTTCTTCTCTATGGCCTTTCTATCTGCATCGTTGAATTCTTTCCTCGTATTGGGAATGGCTACTGGTGGGTCGCCAAGGTTTTTGGTAGGAACAAATGGTCTATCACATATGACATCCCATAGCTCAAAATCTCAAGCCATGATGAAGTCATGCATTCTAGTTTTTCACCGTCCATAATACTGTCCATTGAACCTAGGTGGTCCGTAAATAGACTGGCCTTCTTCGAAGTTTGGAGGAGCAGCCATGAGGATCTTTATTAGGTGTTAACCTGATAGAAAGAACCTGCTCTGATACCAATTGATAGAATATAAGGGTCCACCAAACTCTATAGAGAATCAGGTTCTCTATCAGGTCCAACAACACACCCACACACACACACCCACACACAGCAGTAATTAAATGGCAAGAGGAATTTTACATGGAAAATTCCCAACTCAACGGGATTAAAAACCATGACCTACCCTTGTAGGATTTCAACTTCACTACTAAGAAACTTTTAGATTACAACCTATGCAACCTAGGAATTAACCTCTTAATCCCTCACTAACTTGTTATACTCTATTACAAGCCACTTTGTAATAACTCTATTATAAAGACTTTACAACATGACTAACTCTAGTCAAGACTCAAACACACTGGTTTAAGGTTTACAAATGGGTTCCTATAGAATGCTTCTAAACAAGCTAGATAGGAATTACAATTAAAGAACTATTACAAAGTTACAACTCAACTAAGGACATACAATAACTCTATGTGGGAACTGGTCCGTAGTTATTTTGTTCTTTGTTCTTGAAGCACTTCAAACTTGCTTGCAGGATAGTCACGTGAATGAGCTTGTTAAATGTTCAAGTGATTTGTTTTACCTCCCTTGAATGCATATATACATGTGTGACATCACTTACAATGATGCAAGCAAGATAGGTAAAAGGTCTTCCCTGGAAAGTTGACTGCAGCACTGTTCCTGCACTGTAGCGTGTGCAGGCAGCAACTTTCCAGCTGGAGAGTTGACTTCGTATAGTCTCCTTGGGAACTGGTAGGGACCTGTTCCCTCAATTTTTCCTTCCACTCTGAAGAGTTGAATCATATTTCTGAATCCCAACCTGGAACCTTATGATCTTAAGGTCTTGTAAATGTGTAACAGGTTCCTTATCTGGTTCTGGATAGTAAATTTGTTAGATCATCAAAAAATAAATTAAAGTACTTATAACCAAAGTACTTGTAACCTATCAAATATCAATATTCACTTTTTGGGAGGTTTCAATGAACGGATCATGTAATCGGTATAGATGTGGACTTCTTCGCAAGAAGTCAAATATAACGATAGTCTCTACTCGAGAGGAATCGGTAACGGTATGCTAGTTCTACTTTTCCACTAGCGAGGGCTGTAACTGTAATCAGTAATTACAAGGTGCACCAGGTCTAGCGAACCCGCCGTTAGCTTCGGGACCCTTCAAAGTCTACTCCTATTTATACTTGTCTCTGTATCTGTATATACTCATAGGAAAATATTTTAAAATAATATAGGGCATTTCGGTTCTTATCAAATCATGTAATTTTATTTCGATAACAGTAAATTCAAGTAATGGTAAAACAGCTCTAGTGACAACGGTAATCATATCAAATAACTATTTCGGTATCATATCGAGTAAAAGACTTGTCCCATATGCAACTCAAATAATCGATAACATATTCATATTAAAAATCATGTGTAAATCATGCAAGTTATGAAAACAAAAATTGCGGTAAGATTACTACTCACAGTACTTCGTGCGAAATACCAAACTCGTCACCTCGAACGATCTGTACGACTTTCTTCAATCAATCTATAATCACATCAATATCGATCTCGTGTTAATTTCCTTGTTTTAGCTAATTCATAGCTAATTTAGAATGCCCAACCCTTGGGTTCATGTTTGACTCTTAATTCGTCAATTTATATTACTCACGCTACTGGTAGTTTAGAATACTTCAAAATCTATTAAATACAACTTATTCATATGATATACCCAGTTAATTCACGGAAAAGTCTTATGAATTTCTCCCAATTTCCTTGACTTTATCTTTCAAATTCTTAATCCAAATTCCAAAATTATATCTACTCAGCCCTATAAGAATCATGTATATAAAATTCCATTGTCTGTACTAGATTAATAGTAACTTAACTTTTGTTGATAGCTAATAGTGTGCTAAGTATTAAGCAAAAGAAACCAGATTACCATGGAAAAGTTTTAGAATTCAATTACCTAGCTTGTTCCCCCTCTCTGTAAATCCCTTTGCTAGAACAAAGCAAACTCACTTTGTGGTTGCTTTTGATCGCCTCTGTTTTGCTTCTGCCGAGCTTGGCCCCTTATTCTTTTGTTTTTGAATGCTTCAATGCTTCTGTTTCTTTTTAGCGCAACTTTCCCTTTTTCCCCTTTCTTCGTTTTTTCTTTTTTTTTGGCTAGAATGGGCTTCGGCACTTTTATTGAATTCCTTATCTTTTTTTTTTGTGTGTGTTTTATTAGTTAGTTTCTCATTATATATATATATATATATATATATATATATATATTGCTAATGACCAAAACACCCTTATTAAAAATATAAGGTATTACATAGTTGGCCGTTTTCAGCGCGATAATACAGGTTCATGGTGTTTGAAATAATTTCTTGCTGTTTAGGATAACGAAGAGGAGAAGGAGAAAAGATTAGGGGTTTGTTTGGTCGGATATCAGCCGGCGGCGAGAGAAATTAGGAGAATAGGAGGGAGGCGCAAAAGAATAGGAAGAGAGGAGAGGAGAGAAAAAGGAAAAAAAATGATGTAACTGAATACTTTAATTGAAGGCAGTAATCAAGGTTTGGGAGTCTTCTAAAGGGAAATATATACAAATTATTAAAAAAATCCTAATTAGTTTTGGTAATTAGCAAAAAATAGTTAATTAAATAAAATAGTTTGTAATATAATACATATAGGAAAAAATAATAGTTAATGCCGAGTAAAGATCTTTTTATATTCATTTATATGATATTATTTAAATTCGTTATTTTAATGAACCTTACGCGCTCGCTTAGTCGGGGCCAAAGTGAATACAATAACAAACACCTATTTGGAAGATAAAAGAAGAAACGTAGAATTTTTGTGTTGTAACTAGATTTGTTGAATCACAAAGATAAAAGTGAATTTTTGTGCTTCCACCTCCACGCTTTTCTAGCTGTAATGCTGTATTGCGCTCCTTCCTCAAAACCCCTCAATTTCCTCCACCTTTCTCTATCCTATTCTGTAGTCAATACTAACCACACGATTCATACAATCTAACCCATATTAATCATTTTTCGTTCCCCTTCTTTTTCCCCATATTTATTTCATTTATTTTTCTCTTTTAACTTTCCTATATATATATATATACTCCGCTTCATGCTTTCTTGGTTCTCCTCACTTCACATCTTCTAGCCCTAAATCTCCTCTTATCTCTCCTACCCATTAACCCCTCCTCCTCAAGAAACCCCCCCCCCCCCCCCCCCAACAAACACATTAAAGGTGAAAACTTTATCTTTTTTCTTGAAATCCATTCTTCAATTCTTGATTTTTGCAATATTTACAAATATGGCGATTGCATACCCACATTTCTTTGTTTCTGAAAAGTCCAAGAATTTGAAGCAGCAGCCATCATTGATGGTTTCTTCTACCCCATCATCACCACCTGTCATTTTATCCCAAGATGAGCTGAAAAAAATTGCTGCATATAAAGCTGTAGAATTTGTTGAGTCAGGTATGGTTGTGGGTCTTGGTACAGGTTCCACAGCTAAACATGCTGTGGCAAGAATAGGTGAATTATTAAAGCTAGGGAAATTAAAGAACATTGTAGGAATACCCACATCAACAATTACCCATGAACAAGCTGTTTCATTGGGAATACCTTTGTCTGATTTAAATACACATTCAATTCTTGATTTAGCAATTGATGGTGCTGATGAAGTTGACCGAGAAATGAATTTGGTTAAAGGGAGAGGAGGGTCATTGCTTAGGGAGAAAATGGTAGAAGCTGCTTGTAAGAAATTTATAGTTATTGTTGATGAGTCAAAGTTGGTGAGTCATTTGGGTGGAAGTGGTCTTGCTATGCCTGTTGAGATTGTGCCCTTTTGTTGGGAATTTACTTTGAAAAGGTTGGAGATGTTGTTTATTGAAGCTGGTTGTGTTGGGAAGCTGAGGAGGACAATTGGGGGTGAGCCTTATGTTACTGATAATGGGAATTATATTATTGATTTGTATTTCAAGAGTGATATGGGTGATTTAAAGGCTGCAAGTGATGCAATTTTGAGGCTTGCTGGTGTGGTTGAGCATGGCATGTTTCTTGATATGGCGACGACCGTGATTGTGGCTGGGAAACTTGGTGTCTCAGTTACTAATAAGTAGGATTATATGTTCTTTTAGGAACCTTAGTTTTCTGTTTCCTTAGATATTAGGATATGTTGGGGTTATTGATATTGTACCAATCCAATTGGGGAGGTCTTGCTGAACTATTTATGTAGCAAGGACAATTTAGGTGGTGCATTTGCAACAACTTAGATATTGAATTATTTGGGGGGAATTTGCCTCTAATTTTACAATCTTTGAGTTGGTGACATTTGTTAAAGAATGGAAAGTTTCATGCTATTCACTACTTATTGTATGAGTGTCATTTTTTTGTGACTTGCATTTGCTCGAGTATGCTTACAGTTTTGGGGTTCATCAAGTTCTGTCACTACTTGCTGTTTCATTGAACATATTTGATAATATTAGATTTGACGCTCTACTTTTATGATGTAATAAATATTGCTCTGCCTATATTCAATGATCAACACATTCACTCTAGTCTTGTTCAATGGTATTTACCTTAGATAAACTCGTGAGTGCTGCTAAGATAAACCTGAGGTGTCTGACTTTCTGTTAACATAAGGTTTCATAATGAATTGTCTACTGCTATTTTGTGCAAGTCGCTTTCTCTTTCAAGCAAATATAACGGCAATAACATTGATAAAGGACTCAATGGCTTATAGATGCATTGCGGAAAAAGTCCAAGGTCTAAGAGTATAGATTGTTTTAAAAACTTAACAGCTAACTGTGCAACTAAAAATAAGAATGCTGATATGCAGCTCCATGTGTAATTGTACTAGAAGTTTGATTGATATGATTGTTAATTTGTTTCTCATGCTGCATTCTGTATGTTGCTTCCTAGCGGTGCTTTTGAGCTCTGTATTTCAGGATATCAGATGCTTGGCGTTTTCCGGTGGAACAATGTTACTTATGCCTGGTTGTAAACGTTGTTCTCTGCTGATTCTGTGTCGTGTTTATCGCACTTCTATGGGGAGAGGAAGATTTAGCTCAATAGGAGGATGCATAGAAAAGGAACTTTTGTTGGATGTAAAGCAGTGTTTACTGCCCGGAGCATGAACTCAGCAGAAGGAAGGTGATGTATATTCTGGTATTACAGTGAAATTTAGTAGGATACCCATTAATATTTGGCTACTGGACTGTAACTGAATTTTACTTTGCTGGACCCTAGTTTCCTCTCCTTTTTATGTGATTCTGTTTTCCGCGCGTGTGCACATCCCATGAAAAGGTTACAAATGACCGAAAATTGCAATATGGATCAGGTATCTTTTCACCTATTCTTCCCTTTCCTTGAGATAAAATTGGAAAAGGAACTCCATGTCGGTTGTACTTTGTTTTAGGGCCATAATCCAATTCCTTTGTAACGAGCAAACATAAACTTTAACTTAATATCATGAATATCCTTCAATTGAGGATGTCATCGTGCTTAGGCTTGAAGGATATCCTTTTTCGTTGCATGATCATTCATGACGAATTCCCTTACGATTATACTGCAGTGGGTTGCTCAGCTGTGGGTAAGTGATACCCCCATAGGTGGGTGTGTATTTAGAGAAGATGCTGAATTTTGTGCTTTTTAGCTTCATGCGTTTTGCTTGAGAATTATTAGAAGGTTACTTCATCAGAAATTCATTTATGTAAGTCTGGTACCTGAAACCTAGAGTACCTCTCTTGATTCCAAGTTGAGGCTGTTATTGTGCTAGTGCACTAGAAAAGCAGGGGAGCAATGAGGTCACAAAGAGAACTAATTGATGAAACAGGACATTCTGTATAGGTGATGATGAGAGTGTGACAAAGCTGCTACACGTAAATCTTGAGAAAAAATGTCCAGAACATGAGAACAAAATGATGAATGCGAGAAAAAGGTATTGTTGAATCTTCAATATGATGGCATCGCTTCCTTGTGGGCTGTGGCCCTAAGTGGCTTGAAGATTCTTTAGAGGGAAACAGTGTAGAGGAACTGCCAATTGTCAAAGCATTTCCCTTAAAGTGTTCTTTGTATGACTTCATTTCCGAAGATATCTGATAGTATTTTACATTTTACCCAATTATGATTGATTGACTACATGAAGTCCGTGGTCCTATTTTTCCTGAACTCATTTCTTGTATGATTAATAGATTTAATTCTGTACCGGGGAATATAAAGGACTGGTTATCCTCCCTCTATGATTAGTCTTGTAGTGATGAATTTGTGAAGGGTTTTGATCATAATAATTGTTGCAAACGAGATTTGTATACAACAACAACCCATTAGATTTGTATCTGGAATTATATTACCATCTCATTTAAAAGCTTAACCTATTAGAGAGGGCTCATTGTTTATTATTTATATTTTCTTATGATCGAAAAATCTGTATGGGGATCAAAACAGCCTTCGAAACTCGAGGATAATGAGTTCTCTTGTGTACACTTCTCCACTTAAATTCCAGTCTTGAACCTCTGACCTAAGTCACTATTTACTAATTATATCTTCAACCAGCCTTGTTGGTTTTCTTTTTTTTTTTTTTTTGGTTGACAATGGGTAGAGATGAGAATTGAAACCAAGACCTTTGATTTCTCCAATATCATGTTAAATTTTGTGATTATCTCATGCATACAGGTCTCGATCTTGTGTCTAGCGGGGGGCTATGTTCCAAGGGTGAAGGAATATTAAATCCCAAGGTAGACCACCTCTGTAGATCTGTTTCTGCACATTTGCAGCATCTTTAGCTTGTGGAATTTAACACCTTTATTGCAAAGGCTGAGGAAATGGTCAGTAAATTCTCATTTCTTTTCTGTTAGCTTTTTGTTAAATATTTCTTGAGGATTATGAGAAATCCCAAGGGTGAAATGAGAAATATATGTAGAGGACTACTTTTTGAGTGCTCTTGTTAATGTAAAAAAATTGATTTTTAGCTCTGTTACTTTCGAACCTTTTATTTTCTATGATTTCTGTTGACGGTATTGATATTTGTCTCTTCTCGTCTTTTGCGTCTCCTTGAGCCGACTACCCTCTCCCCAGACCCCACTTGTGTGATTTTACTGGGTCGTCGTCGTCGTTGTTGTTGTTACTTTTGAACCTCTACACAATGATTTTTACATAGGGCGAATCTTTTTTCCTTGAGATTATGGCAGAATACCTTGAGACCCCCTTAAACTAGCTTGCCACGTTTTATTCAGTACACACCCCTGCTAAATGTTTCGTTTTCAAACACGTTTTCGTCCAATGTTTGAAAATGAAAGATTACATGTTTTCAGGTTTTACTTCCATGTATTCAGTTAATTTACTAGAAGGTAATAACTTATTTTTCTCACTTATCTAGGAACGTAATAGTTTTGTTTTGCTTTTCCATTTCTTCTAATTTGGCATGTAATAATTTTATTTTTAACTTTTAGTTCCTTTCCCGTGACAAAATTAGTTGGTTTAGGAGATTAATTTAAATAGATAGACAATCATAGCAATGCAAGACGTGAAAGGTGCCTAACAGGTGCCTACGACCTTCTCTTAATCAATTGAACTCTTTATTTAGGATTTCTGTAGTCTAGGTGTGACTGAATAAACTTTAGTCAAAGTACTATTTTATGTTAGTTAACTACAACAACAACAAAGTTCCCACAAGTTGAATCTAGGGAGTGTAAGATGTACGCAACTTTACCCCTACCGTGGAAGGACAGAGAAGTTATTTTATGTTTAGTAAACTACTCCACAATAATATTCAAAATTCAGTTCTATAAGTCAAATTCATCACATTTTGGAAAACACCTTTTATTTTGAGGATTTAACTTGTATACATTGATAGTTGTATAGATCTTTATGCTACTAGTATGCGTAATTTTCAAGTTACTAATCACACTTGTATGGATGGTTACCTATAGTTATCTTTCTGATGATCTAATAAATGTAAAGATTCTTTTACGGACAGTGTTTAGAAGTTAAGCTCTTATTTTAATACCGTGACTATTTATACTTTTTTTTGTTTGCTAGCTCACCAGAAGTTTTTACTTTCTTCATTAAATTCAAGATAAAAGCAGCTCAAAATTTAAAGTATGAAAAGATTAAGAGAGTAATTACAACACCAGTGCATTACTGATTTATCGCAAATAACTACTGTACAGAGAGCTTATTTCAACACAAGCAAAGGGAAAAGCAAAAGCAGGCCAGCTGCTAACAGTAGTAGTAAACTCAAACAGATGATCAACAATTCGCAAGTTCAATCTCAGCAGATTCAATCTCCACTTGTGGGAACAGACGGGGTTTGTTGTTGTTGTTTAATCTCAGCAGATTCAATGGCGATAAACTCACCCCCAGCTTTTGGAACCAGATTCACCACGATAGTATCTTCATCTTTCAAGGCCAATTTCCTCGAGCCACTCAGTTATGGCCAGCTGAAAGTCCTCTGGTTCCTTAATGGGACCTCTGTGAATGTGTGGTAAGTTAGTGTCGCTTCCTGAAATCTCAGCCTTATCTAGCTCCTGCCAGTTGAAGGTATTGTCCACGTTGAGGAACACATCAAATCTTATTTGCTTACTGTCATCGCACTCAACTTGTTTCAAAGTTAACATCTCTTCTTTTTCATCTTTCTCCTGCTGAGTCCTACCAGAAGTTGGCCTATGAACAGAAAATGAAATGATTTTGTCCAACTTTTTTATTGGGAATACTTGAGTAGCTGGTGGAACTGAACTTGGATCGACGGTGATCTTGCTCTTTTTCAGTGGCTTAAAATGGTGCCATGGGGTTGGCATTTGTTGGTAATCATATCCCATTTTCCTATTGTCCAAACAATCTTGGACTCTAACCCGAACAGGGTTCTTGTTTTCGTCATGAAAGAATAGTTCACTTTTCAAATAATTTGGGTTATTGATGTCCTTGCGTTTGCCTCCAAATGTCTTCCTTATTGTCCACATTCGATCTACATTTGCTCAGTTGTTTTCACATCATCACTGAAAAAGCCAAGATCCAAGATAGTTTGGTTACGTTTTATATCATTGAGGTTTGGGTAAACATTTGGTTAATCAAACATTGGTGCATACCCTTTGGATTATCCCAATTCCAATATGGCAAAGCAAAAGTCGGATCATTGATTAGTGATCCCAAGATTCTGCCATAGAAGTACAAGTACCATCTATGGAATGGAACTCCCTGCCATCTATTTTGTAAGCACAATGGACTTGTTGCTTGAACCCTGTTGGATCAAGTGGATCTTTTTCAGTTAACTCCTTCATTTTAGTGATACCTAGTGGGAAACTTGTAATAAGGAATGTCATCTGTTTTTGGTGGCATAGGGGGACAACAATATAGGGTGCAGATATATCTTTTGCATTTCTGCTCTGCCACATGAATCAAGAGTGGGGATTGGAAAAGGAGTTGCAGATGCTACTGA